CTCTCCCACCCCCACCCCATTCCGCGGAAATTCCTTTTTTTTAAACTCAATATGTAAGGCAGCATAGTGGAATCGGGCCCTCGTCAAAATAGTCAAAGTGAAAAAACCTGCATTTTCCCGCAGGTTTGTGAATTTTTACCAAATATTTGTTTTTTGGTTCAACACCTTTCATGCCCATTAAAGAACTCATTTCAGTGTGGATTTTTCTGGAAAAACGTTGATTTAAGGCACAAAAAATGTACATTTTTAGTTACCACAGGCTCTTCAGCTAAGGAAATAACTAATCTTTGGCGGCCATTTTCTCATTAATTTTACCTCTGAAATCAGGTGACCCCCACCTCATTCAATTGCAAATATCTCGACTTGTATTCAGGATAAATGGATACTTTTTTCATCCAATTAAAGGCCGATGCACAAGCTTTAAGATGATACCAATAACTCTACATGCCCAAAAATTGACGAGAGCCTGATTCCACCACGCTGCCTCACATATGTTTTTATGCCCCTATTGACACAATTTAGATCATTTAGAAAGCTATATTTCTACCTTGCCTGCAAAGGTCAACAACCGCCGGGCCCTGTACTGTTCATTTGTTTCCATGAAGCAACCATGACAAATGACCTGAATGCACTAACCCCCTAAGAGGTTATATTATGTTTCACCGTGCAGTGAATTAAAGCGCTCATTTGGCTTAACACCTTTTGTGTCCATTGAAAACACATTTTTGTTTGGATTTTACTGATAAGTGTTGATTAAAGGCACAAAAGAAGAAAAATTGCAGCATTTAGGGACTCTCAAGCTTGGAAAACACCAAAGTTTGTAGGCTACTTGCTCCCAGATTTTACCTCTAACATCAGGAAGGCATCCCCCACCTCCAAAAATCGCAAATGTTAGTACATGGTATATCTCGACTTCTATTCAAGATAGACGTATTATTTTTTTGGTTTTCGTTTTTCGTGTTTTTTGTTGTTGTTTTTTTCCATCAAAAGAAAGATATGGACGGACTTTAACTGACGAGCGCCCAATACCACCGTGCTGTAACTTATAATCATATGATATAGATCTAGTCCTATTGCTCCCTTTGCTCACCTCTGATTTGCCTTCCCAGTGACTGCTGAGCTGACGGCCGAAGGTTCCAGAGCCATACACTCATACCGGAAGTAATCACAGTCGTGGAAGGCCGAGTCGAAACTCTCCCGCAGGATGTAGCCGATCTAGTGATAATGGGCAGTTGACGTTTTGGTTCGAGTTTTACGGCACTTGCAGATTAATTAAATCGGCCACACAAACTTGAACAAGAGTAGAGATATTAGTAGAGATTTCTAATTCAATGATTAAGCTTATTTTAGTACCTTAATTAAGAGTTTTACGGTATTCGCAACACAAATAGGTCATATTAGTGCCAAAGATAGGAAGTGTTACTAGAAGATAACATAGTACTTGTAGAAACAAAAAGGAGGAGAGAAAAGGAAAATACGAGGGCTGTCCCACGGAAAACCGGAAAAGGTCCGTAAAAGCAAAAATCTTTGTCCTATTATAATAAAATTGTAACACATCATACCTCAACATGTGCTTTATTTCTCAATGTAATCACCATCCCGCTGGACACATTTTTCCCATCGCTGGATCTGGGAGAAGATACCCTCCCTGAAGAATCTTTCGTCAAGGGATTTCAACCAATCGTTCACGGCTTCCACGAGGTCTTCGTCGTCGGTGAATCGCTGTCCAGAAATATGGCGTTTCATTGGTTCAAAAAGGTGATAATCTGACAGGGCCAAGTCAGGACTGTGAGGGGGTGTAGTAGAACTTCCTAGCCGAACCTTTGGAACCAGTCTTTCGTGACGTTTGCGGTGTGTGGCGTTGTGTTGCCATGCTGCAAAATGACCCCGCTGGTCTTTTTCGGCCCCAACCCATCAAGCAGAGACCTTTCAATAGTGCAGCTCATCAAACTCTATCCTATAGACAGTCGACTTTGAAATGTTTAGCGACTCGCAAATTTCGCGAATTTTTAGGCGCCTGTCTGTTTGATAAAGTTCGTTAACGCGACTCTTGTTGTCCTCAGTCTTGGCAGAAAAACAAGATCCTGGGTAAACTTTGTCATCGATATCGGAGTGCCCGGCTTTGAACTTACTACATCACTCATATACCTGTGACTTTGCCATTACTTTCTCCCCATAAACTGACTTTATTTCAGTGTGTATTTCTAGAGGTTTGAGACCATTTGCGGTCAGAAACCGAATAACAGACTTCACTTCTACCCTTGACCAATTTTCCAAGGGGGTAGCCATCTTTTGAGAACTGCTGTGCTCGTTTGGTTTGTGCGATTCTCATGGTGCTCAATCGGGAAATTTCTAAATGATTGTTTTACAAGTGTGCGTTTACAGAATGTGAAAATATTGAATAGTTTTCAAATTACAGCCAAATTCCGGTTTTCCGTGGGACAGCCCTCGTAGATGGTTTATAAGAAAAAAAGGGAACTTTTAACACAAGCTGGTCATTTAATTTAAGCGCCGAAGATTGCAGGTGTTCCTAGAGAATAACTTACAGAGAAAAGCTGGAGGAGAGATGTTGATACATGTTTGAGAGGAAAGAAGGAGCACACCACACAAGAGCATCTGCCGATTAGCCACAGTCTAATGATGCTACGGCCATGCTTCATAGGACCGGAAAACAATTACTAAAACGTGTTCTAAAATAAGTGAGGCAGCGTTGTGGAATCAGGCTCTCGTCAAAATAATCAAAGTGAAGAAACTTGCATTTTTTCCGCAAGTTTGGGAATTTTCATAAAATTTTTGTT